AATCGAGTCAGGAGAGAAACGTTTCAACTGACTGATAAATAACTATAACCTCTATGAACTAATTTAAGGTAGAGTGTGGGAACACTTAGCACTAAAAAGTTTGTGTAGGTTAAGGATCAATTAATACATCGTTATTAAATTGGGACGGGTAATTTAAAATTTGGGTTTTATTTTGAAAAAAAAAAATTTAATCGAAAGAAAATGCCATAAAAAGTATTTTTGAAGTGTGTATATTTTAGGCAATTCCTATGCCTGAGCGGCTTTCGGCTTTACAAGCACATCATCAGAGCTATGGTCAATTTTTAAATACCACTACAAAGGAGAGATCTTCATTTCCTTAAATTTCAAAATTATGGATTTTGTTAGGTGTTGAAATTCTTAAAACATATAATAAAGCCTGACACTGGACTTCACAAACACAGTTTATAATAAATTGAGTAAACATTTTTGTCATGGGACGGGTTCTAAGACCCAACCAATTGATTGATGTGAGGACGGTAAGACTGAATAGCTATACAGTCTACGTATAGCACTGGCATGAATCAACGGCGTTTCTTATCTGTACACCATCGCCGCCGGCTGGAAGGAACCTCCAAGTAGCGTGTTAAATATTGGTGATTTTGAATAACATATCAATGTCCAATATTTATTTGATGGGATGTATCTTTGATTCTCTCTTTCTTCCATCTATTTCCTACCATGTACGGGGATTGTTCAAATACGTTTAAAACATTTACGCGTATTATTTATACTTGATTACCGGTAAATGTAATATTGAACTGCCCTTATAAATCGAGTCGGAGAGAAATGTTTCAACTGACTTTATAAATACCATAACTCTATGAACTAATTTAAGGTAGAGTTTGGGAACACTAGCACTAAAAAGTTTGTGTAGGTTAAGGATCAATTATACTCGTATAATTGGACGGAATTTTAAATTTGGGTTTATTTTGAAAAAAAAAGAATATTTTTATTATCACGGGAAACTCAGTAGATATGAAACGTAGTAATGTTTTTTTTTAATAATGCTATTAGAAAGAAAGTTAGGGCATAAGATATAGTATGCCATTTGCTGTCACGGCCTATAAGTCGGTCTTACATTTTACCATCAAAAATAGACAGTTATATGGAATATATCTCTCTTAAATGTCTACTTTTCTTAAAACTTTAGGTGCTATCAAAGCGTATCTTTACCGATTCAATGACACCTACACAAAAATTGTTATTTCGAAAGGAAAAATTTCAGAACTGAATGTAAGAAACATTGGTAGAAAACGAAATAAAAATTAATATTCACCCAAAATAAATAAGAATTTTTTTATATAATTTGGTCTTTGTTCAATAACATGCACAGTGATTAACATTTTCGAAACAATTTAATGGTTCTAAAGCTTTTTAAAGTTATGTTCAGATTAAAAGTTATTATTCGCATTTAATCATTTTGAATAATTGTACAAAAATTGATTTTGTGATGTTTAAGCACATGATCGATGATCCTTTGACATCAAAACAAAAGTAGTATATGTAAATGTGAGAATACATGTATTTTCATTAAAAGCTATTACAGAGTACTAAACATTCAGTATTTTTCCACTAAAATATCTTAGCGCCTTATATAGAACTATTAAATGTGTCTTCAACAGAGGATCCCCAAATCTGACAATATTTGAGATCTATTTTAAAATATGTAGAATGGGCATTTAATATAAATTTATTTTGAACTAAAGAAATATGTTAGAACGGTCTGGAATGATTAAGTTTTCTTGTAACAAACTTTATAGGAACATTTAATTAGACTAATAATAGAAAATCCATACACTTAAAACTATAGAAAAGTTCAAAATAGGGAAGTATGGGAAAACAGTTAATGTTGAAAGAGAGAGTGGCTAAATGTATAGGATAAGACATTAATATTATACAAACCATATTAGATAACGTGCAATGATTTGCTTATCTTATTTGATAGTTTATTATTAAGCCATATCCGGCTCGGAGGACCAAATTTTATGGGATAATATCAGATATTATTGGCTCATATTTTTTGCTAGAATTTTTAGAACTTAAATAAAATGAAGTGCAAGCCGCAATGCAGCAATAAAACACCAAGAAACCACTCGTGTTTTTATTTATCTCTACAATCTTAACGGCCAAGTTCATTGTCCTGATGAAAAATATTTTTTTCTTTAAGCTGAGTTTGTTGTTCTATTGCATACTAGTTTAATGAGAATTTGAATGTAGTGTTTTCCAGTTATGGTTTTATCTAAGATGGTTAATCAGCAAAATTTCTTTCGAATCACAAAGTAACGACGTTTTAACATTTCGCACCGATAGCTCCTTCTTTACAGCTGTACCTTTTGTCCATTGCTTTGACTGGTCTTTGTTTTCGGATGTGTAGGAGCGAATCCACGTTTCATTTATTGTAGCGCATCGATGCATATACTTTTGCCTTTCTTCTCTTGCGAATGCGTTTGTGATCCGTATTGAGCACACGCGACATTCATCATTCAAGATATGGTCAAATGTAAGCCGATTTTCCAAACCATATCAGGTACTGTGTAGATTATTTCCGGAGTGTATACACTTCTTGGACGTCCTTTGCGCATATTTAAAGACGTACATAAATTTTTATCGATATTAAACAATTTTTAACAAAGACATATCACTGCACGATACTTGATTTTTCCCATTTTTAATACAACACCCACTTTCTACTTCAAAAGACAGCCCGGAATAACTTAAAATTTTAAATGGCATGTACTAGCATGTGTACCAACATAAGAGAATAATAATTATGCAAGCAGTGGTTACCATTTGTCGAGCCACAGCGCTCGCTTTTGCCAAAGGCTTGCGACGGTCTCATAAAGACTGCACCTTTATGATCTCAGGACGTGGGAGAGAACTGGTGATACCGCTTTACTATATTAAAAGAAAACTCTTGTAGTGATTAAATATCTTCTTCAAGTTCCGCTCCTATCGGAGATTGGAAATCATTCTGAAAATTATAATTTTGTTGGTTACGCGCCTGAATAGTTCAATTGAACTGCATCCAAACCATTCACGGAGATTGCGTAGCCACGAGATTTTACGTCTTCTTACGCTTCTTCTGCCTTTGATTTTACCCTGCATTATATACCTTAGTAGTTCGTATTTTTCATCTCTCATGATGTGCCCCAATTATTCCAATTTCCTGATTTTTATGGAATTTAAAACTTCGCATTGTTTTCCTAGTTGTTCGAGAACTTGTTCGTTTATGTTGGATTTTTCAAGTGTCCAAGCTTCAACCCCATACAAAAGGGTAGAGAAAATATAACATCGAAGCATTCTTATCCGGAGCGATATATTGATATCCCGATTACAAAAAAGTTTTCTCATTCTATTAAGAGTTGACCGTGCAATTTTAATGCGGCACCTTATTTCTTTTGTCTGATGAGTATTTTCTATGATCTATGCTCCAAGGTATTTGTACGAAGATAAATATACTATAATTTAATTAATTATCAACAATATCTGCTAATATCCTCCAGGTCGAATGCTATATTCGGGATTTAAATGTGCAGTCGCAAAAAAGTACTTCCAAATTTTAATTTGTAAATTTACAAGAATTGTATTCCCAATAATTTATATAAAGTTATTGACACAAAAGTTGAATAAAAAATTAAGTAGCTTCAGAACAGTAACATTTTTATCATTAAAACTGTGATAGATGTCAAATCTTGTCAGTATGGTGTACGCACCCTGTGTATTGGTTGTAACACAAATCCAATGGAAACAAATGTTTTAACAGAAACTGAAAAAATATGCTATGATAAGCTTACCATAATAAGTGTAAATATCCGCTATAAGTAAGTGTAGAGTTTTATACAAATATTTGAATTCAACTCTATACTAACCGCACATACCGACATATACCCTATCCTTATACGTAAATAGCATATTTCAATATATTTATATATTTTGTTAATTGAACTTCATCATTTCAAACAGTTTGGTGTACATCAAATTGTGTAATAAATACAAAAATAACTAAATCTGTGTTTTATTTTATATAAATGAACAATGTAAAATATAAGCTCCAATTGTTACTCAAGATAATGTATTAAAGAACTAAAACCTGAGAATTAAATACAGGAGTTGATGTTAAAGGCACGTTTACACGTCTCCAGTTTTTGGCGCCAGTGTCACTGGTATGCCAGTGCTTGACACGGACAGCGCTGGACAAGCACTTTTATTCATCTGTCGTAAATGCATTCCACTCCGTCCGTAGCCCGCGAGACGAAAGCTATGCTTTCAAAAACTAAAAGCAAAAAAAAATACGTGTTCATTAGATATGGAAATACATATGACCAGTACGTTGCAAATCATATAGAAGATATTATATTGATGCTGAGTAGTAAAAGAATGTAATTATTAGAGGTCTGGACAGACAATATATAGAACATATTTCCCAGATATGAAAATAAGTAAGCAAGTAGGAATCTCCGGGAAACATGCCGATATAAGATCATAAAATAGATGCAGGAATAACAAATAAATGGAATAAATATAATAATAGGCGTTCAATATGGATACGAAGTTAAGCGCGAACGACAACTGCAAATTGAAAATGAAACAAGAAAGAATGAAGAAAATGCAAATTAAGTAGGTGGGTAGTTTAATATATTTATAATTGCAGAAACTTCGAAATACACTCCAAGAACTAAAATAAACAGTAATATCTGTGGTAATACATATAAATGAAAGTACTAGTGTAACTTTTAATTATCATTAAATTAATTGAAACTGAAATATTAGTTTCAAAATCCTATAAAATTGGCTATAATAGACATAAATTAGTCAAGAACAGAAATAATTTATTTTATTCAACTTTGACAATATTTAAAGTTTGTGTTAAAAAATGCCTAGTTCAGGGTCACCAGCATAAATAAATAGACAAGAATAAAGAGAGGAGATTGACAATCACTTTGACAATTTAAACGTCAAAACTAGCCAATGGAACCGGTGCTTTTAAAAATCAATTAAAAGAGGTTAGACGTTATATTGGCATTTTGGTCTTTACTGCGTTTTTATATAATTTTTTCAAATTACTAGATCTAAATATTAATTAATACAGTTACTGTTTATATATGACGACATAAAAATTGGGCTCAAATAAAAATAGAAAAATTAAAATTGCCGTTGATTGAAGTTTGGTGGGGGAACTTATTCAAATCAGACATTTTGGTTGGGCCAATCTGTTTTTATTCCAACATTTTGGAGAGGTAGGTAGGTTCTTACTTTATTTTTTCACTTCATTAATTTTTTCTCGTTCGAACTGCATCAAACCAAACATTTCCTTGACATTATGTTTTAAGTGTGTCAGTGGCCTAAAGCTATACCTTTTTAGGTATAAACAATGAATGAATCATAAATTAAATCTAGATCACTGTCAGACAAATACTGGTTTATTTTATTTTTAAATTTGATCAAGCCTAAACAACCATGGAAGATGAAGAATATAAGAAATTGCCCGTTGACGAGAAATGTGTACACAAGTTGTGGAAAGCCAGAGTTAATGGATATGAAGAAGTTACCAAGTTATTTAGACAGATTGATGATGAGAAATCTCCAGAATTTAGCAAATACCTAGGTTTAGTCAAGAAATTTGTTGTTGATAGCAATGCTATGGGCCAGGAGAAAGGTCTGGAAGCTACTTTAGGTGAGTATTGGTTTCTTTATTTTGTTATGTGCAAATAGGCCATTTGTATGAATAGGTACTGCTAGAGATTACTAACCATATCTTGTATTTCTAAATATTAGATTTATATGCCCTATAAATGTTTTAAGAGTGTTATTAACAATTTTTTCATTTATCATAGTGGCTAATATTAAATTATTAAGCTATTATATGACTAACAGTTTATTTCCAAAGAAAAGAATAAATCATTTTTAAATATATTATAGTATAATAACACTGAACACATTACATGTAAAATAATATTAAGCCAATCTGGGTTTTTTGCAGAATTAGTGTTAAAAAAACTACATTGATATAAGTAGTTTATATTAATATGATATATACACAGAAAGTATATAAAAAGGAAGTTCTGTTTATTTTACAAAAAATCTACAAAACCATTCCTTTAATATTCTAAAGAATAATTTTGAATTATGTTTTTGATACAGTAATTATTGAGGTTTTCCAATGTAGGCATTATTTTCAGATTAAAAATCTCTGAAATTTTGTCAGAACCAGAGACCTTTATACATTTCAATGCATCTTTACCTTTGTGCTTCTTAGTATTTTTACGGAATTTGTATATTTTGCTTTGTTGTTTATTATGTGCTGCATGCACATTAAATTTAACAATAAATGACACTGTAAAAATAAATTCTGATATAATAAGTTTTTTTTTGTAATAGATCAAGATAACTTTTTTTCATCAACCTCAAAATGTTGGAATATTTTATTGGCATTTATATTAAATTTAGATACATTTTACAAGTTTAATAATTTGGTACTCAATATAATTATCCAGTTAGTAAAGCTATTCAAGAGAAAAATATAAATATTTTTTTAACTGGATAATCTATATGGATGGAGAAACGGAATTTAATTAGAAGTTCCACAACAAAAAAAGAAACATCAATTAAACAACGAAGATATAATATTTAAAGTGAATGTTTTTCCTTGGAGATACTGCTTTATGTTCATTAAACTAACGTTTTGACTTGTTAGAAGATCATCTTAATAGCTTTAATTTTTTATACAATCTTTTTGAGATAAATAAAGATTTAAGAAAAATTCCTTTCGATAAAATTGTAGCCTATATACACCTGTATTGTGTATTCCTGTCCATTCTTTAATATTCCTTAACCAGGACAATTGTTTGCGGCCGGCTCCTCTCCTACCTTCGATCTTCCCTTGTAGGATTAACTGTGGTATTTCATATTTTGCTCCTCTCAATATGTGCCCAAGGTAACCAATCTTGCGTTTTTTAATTAATTCAAAGAGTTCTCTTTCCACACCGGCTCTATTAAGGACGTCATCGTTTCGAACTCTATCCACCCAAGGTATGCGCATCATTCTTCTCAATGACCACATTTCAAATGCTTCAAGTTTGTTGATAGATGTTTTTTTCAAAGTCCACGTTTCCATGCCATATGTAGCACTTGACCATTCTGTAGCGTATTTCGAAGTTTAGGTGTTGATTACATAGGAGCGGTCTGAATTTCACAAAAGCTTGTCTTGCCATTTGTATTCGGGTTTTTATCTCGTGTTGTGGATCCGATTGGTCATTGATTGTGGTGACAAGGTATTTAAAAGTTTTCACGCGATTTATACGATTGTCACCTATGCATAATATTGGGTTTTCTGGAGGATTTCTGCTAATGACCATATATTTCGTTTTCAAAATGTTGATTTTGAGGCCATATTTTTTACCTATGCTATTCACCCTATCAAGTAATAACTGCTGATCTTCCAAATTATCAGTTATAATCACTGTGTCGTCCGCATAGTGTAGGTTGCTAATTGGTATGCCGTTCACCTTAATGCCTAATTCCGTATCTTCTAATGCTTCCGCAAATATATTTTCAACATATAAATTAAAAGCATCGGAGAGAGTATGCAGCCTTGGCGGACACCTTTCCGGATTTCAAATTCATCCGTATATTGGTCTTGATCAATCCTCACCTTTGCCATTTGGTTCCAGTATAGATTCTGAATAATTCTGATCTCCTTCTGGTCAATGTTGGCCCTATGTAATAGTTCCATCATGATATCATGTTTAACATTGTCAAATGCCTTCTCGTAGTCGATGAAGGTGAGGTAGACATCTTTTCGTTGATCTAAGCAGTTTTGTATTAAGGTGTTCAAACATAAAATTGCCTCTCTTGTTCCTAGTCCTCCCTTAAAACCGAATTGTGTTGACCCGCTAAGTTCTTCTAGTAACTTATACATTCTTGAGTGTAATATCCTAAGGAAGAGTTTCAACAAGTGACTCATTAAACTGATTAAGCGGTGTTCATTGCATTTTGTGGCATAGCTGTTTTTGGGATCATCACAAAGGATGACTGCAGCCATTCTCGCGGAATGTAACCAGTATCATAAATTCTATTGAACAGCCTTACCAAGATTTCGATATTCTCCTTGTCTAGTAGTTTTATTGCTTCTATATTAATTTCATCTGGACCTGTTGCTTTATGCATCTTTGTGGTTCTAACTGCATATTCTATTTCACTTCGCATTATTGATGGCCCTGATAAGTTTTCGCAAGGAAGTTTGCGCGTTGGTTGTGTTGGTCTTTCGTCATTAAAAAGGCTTTCTGCGTATTCTTTCCACGCCATTGCTATCTCTTCTTCTGACTCTATGTATTCGTTTCTGTCGTTGCGTATTCTTGTTCTGTGGTGGCTTTTGTGTATATTCGATATTTCTTTGATCTTCTTATGTAGTCCAAAACTATCTCCTTTTTCCTGCAATTGTTCTATTTCGTTGCACCTTTCCACCATCCAACGTTCTTTTGCTTTCTTAATTTTCTGACGGATTTCTTTGTGTATCTGTTTGTATTTGTCTTGATTACGTTGTTGTTTATGTTGCCTTCGCTTTTCCATTAGATCCATAATTTTGTCCGTCATCCATTCGTTATGCTTTATCTTTCTGATCTGTGTTTTAACTTCCCTGTTTACTGCCAGAATCGTTCCTTTAATATCATTGACCATCTCTTCGATATCATAATTTTGTTCTATTACTCACATTCTTTCATTAATTTGATTAGCATAACTCTTCTTCAGATTTTCGTCTCTCATCAGTTCTCTTGTATTTATAGGTGTGCTGGTATTTGTATTTGTTCTCTTGTTCTAACAGCCCATAACTAATCGAAATTATGACTCACTAGCTTCGATTTTTGCCTCAGTTAACCAAGGGGCTGGGATAACCTAGGCTCGGATAATCGCGAGTCTACTGTAATTAAAACATATTTAAGAAAAACTATAATACAGACGAGACTTGACAGTCTAGCATTAATTTCAATACAACATAATATATGTAATAAATTAGATATTAATATTTTTATTGATAAATTTGTAAAAAATTAAAACAAGGAGAATAACATTTTGTATACTATTTATTTGAGAAATTTTTCATTCAATCCCTAGCTGAAGAGATAGCAAGTATGGTAATAAGATGATATTGGTAAGCAGATTTGTGTGGAAATAGGGCCTTTTGATAACGAACCTATCTGGTCTAAAACATTTCCTGGAAAAATCGACATCAGGACAACTAAATTAATGATAATATTGCCAACTAATCATTGAAGGAAATATTAAAGGTGAAAGAGTACCTATCAGAAGAAGAATATCATGACTAAAAGTGCAACAAACAAATATTTAATTATATTCAATCTTTGTCAATATTATTATCTTAAATATTTCTTATTTTTTTAACCTGGCATATCCATTTCAAGGTTCCAAAACATGTCTTCTTCTTCTTTGAATGCCTCTCCTATCGGAGATTGGATATCATTATGGCGATTCTAATTTTATTAACTGCTGTTTTGAATAATTCATTAGTGGTACAGCCAAACCACTCTCTTAAATTTCTCATCCAGGACATTTTTCTAAGGCCTGGATTTCTGCGCCCTTGGATCTTTCCTTGCATTATATTTTGTAGGAACGTGTACTTTTGTCCTCTCATCAGGTGGCCTAAGTATTCAAGTTTTCTCTTTTTTATATTCATAATAACTTCTGGATCGTTATTTATTCTGCGTATTACCTCTTCATTTGTAATTCTATCCACCCAACTTATTCTTATTCTTAGTATACAGTCAATGTAACACATTTTAAATGTAAACACATTTTAAAACATAAAATTAATGCGCTGTGTGTATAGTGAAGTATTATTTACATTTTTTCCTGGGATAGTTATTTTTGCTACATTTAACTTTCCCATGTTTTACAGCCTATGTGGAAAATTATGCACACGCTGGTAAAACTGTCTCAGAAGTCATGTCAGGAGTGGTTACAAAATGTATGGCAGCACCCAAAACAAAAACAAGGGAGCTTGCTCTGCAATTAACGTTAATGTATGTTGAGATTGAAAAACATGAAGCTGTGGAGGAGGAACTTATTAAAGGTATGGAGTTGAAAAATCCAAAAATTGTAACAGCATGCGTAAATGCTGTGACTGTTGCTCTCAGAGAATTTGGGTCCAAAATTATAAATGTAAAACCACTCTTAAAAAAGATCAGTGTGCTTCTAGCTGATAGAGATAAGGCTGTTAGAGATGAAACAAAGATGATGATTGTAGAAATGTATAGATGGATTGGTGGAGCACTTAGGTATGTAATTATATATTTATAAAAAAGAAGTTTCTAATTGTTTATGTACTTTAGGCCTCAATTACAAGCTGCCAGTTTACAGCCTGTGCAAATTACAGAATTAGAAGCAGAATTTTCAAAAATTGAAGGTCAGAAGGCTGTGCCAACCAGATATATCAGGTCCCAACAAGCTAAACAGGCTAAATTAGCAGAACAAATCGCTGAAGCAGCTGGTAAGTTTTATTTAAAATATTTATTAACGTCAGATCAAACATCAACTAGTTTCTTACACACATATTTTATATTAAGCTATTATTATTATTTATATTTCTTCTTTTCATTTGATTAACTGTCATCTTAATATAATAGTAAGGCAAATAAATGATAACTGCACATATCAGCCAAGATCAAGTCTAACTACAAAAGGAGTGTGGGAGAAAATAAAGGAAAGCAGAAGATAAAGTTAGAAGTTGTGTTAAAAACAATACTTAAATAATTATATAATAAATGATTATTTAAGGATTAATAAATAAACAAAATACTGATATATATAAAAAACTGCTACCGTGAAAAGATTTGCGGTTCTTGTGTTGAACCACATACATAGATTTTTCAGCCAGGAAATCCTTCGCCTTCCTGGTCCGCGTTTTCTATCTACTTTTCCTTGATCTCATCTTAATCTCTTAAAAGAGATTAAGATGGTATAAAGTTATATAAGCAGATCCTAATTAATCTTTAAGAAAGAAAAGTGAAAGTGTTGAAGTATATCACAAAAATATCCTTTTAAGTTTATCTCATGTTAATATGTAGATAAATAATTCAATGAAGGAAGTACTGACATTTTTCTTATTATAGTTTTGAAACCCAAGTGGCTGTAGTAATTTTTTCCAACATCAGCATATGTATCTACTTAGGAGTGAAGTGCTTGAACTATCCACATTCCTTTTAATTAATATTTTAATTGCTGCAGTTCAATTCATCTGAACACTGTTTGAATCACTTAAAAATCCCCTTTTCAGGTGAAGAAGAGGAGGAGGAGGAAGATGTAGTCCAGGATATTGACCCTTATGAATTGGCCACACCTGTGGAAATCTTGTCTAAACTACCCAAAGATTTTTATGAAAAAATTGAAGCTAAAAAATGGCAGGAGAGGAAAGAAGCTCTAGAAATAGTTGAGAATCTGGTTAAAACTCCCAAGTTGGAAAATGGAGATTATGGTGATTTAGTTCGAGCTCTTAAAAAGGTAAGTGAATATTTTTTATTCAAACTCACTTTTTATTAAATTATTTTTATTGATATCAATATGTCAATATGAATTTGTTTTGAAAATTTGATAAGCTCTACCATTTTTTTAAAGTCAGAAACTTTCTCTAACCTTCAGTCTGTTTTTGTTGTTCATTTTTATTAAAACACTTTAAACCTCTGTTAAAGCATTAACCTGCACTAAAGTTTTCTGCAATTGTTGATCATTGTCAGCTGTTAAAATGTCAATGTTTTCTATACGGAGAATAGGGCAATAGGTGTTAAGGAAACGTTTGCACTCATTTCCTCGGTTCAAATTATATTTGCCAGCTTTCAAAAGTCAAAGCTTTTTGTTCCATGCAGAGGGCAATATACTTATTTGATGAATCGTGGCATTTTAGTGAGATTATAAATAAAACTTCGGGACTAGTTTGGGACGAACTCTATTATAAATTTTTACCTCAACAACTATAGTGTAATAATTCAGTAGCTGTCAATAAAACTATATTTTACTCCATGACTTTAACATTTTATTTTATCATTGTCGATCGAGAAGAGTCGGACACAAGGCATTAGAAACGATTCGAAACTATAATTACATTCGAATTGTACAATATTATGCAAAATCGATATTGGTGCCAAAAATACAAGTTAACTCTATAATCGATGTTACAGTATTTAGAAATGTGCAAGCCATAATTTGTTTAGCGAAAAAGGATGTTAAACGAATCATTATGTTTTAGACATTGTGGACAGTTGGTGATACCATTGATTAGACTAAAAATAAAGTAGACATCAGTAATTACTTTTCTTTGTTCTAAAGTGTTAAGGTTCAGTATTTTTTTAAGTTCATTCCTATGGTAATTCTTGAATGTTAAGTTTAAATTCAACAAACATTGGATTTTTCTAATTGGTTCTTATGACTCTGATAAAGGAAAACCAAATAACTGATGCATATTCAAGAAGATATAGTGATAGATAGGTATGGACAGCAGAATGGCAGTGACAAATGAAGAGTATATAGTGTTAGATGTGTTCATTTTTTACATAGAGATGACTGACTAAATAATACACCCTTCTTTTATTCGTATCTGAGTAAAGTATATTTATTTTTGACAATATCGTAAATTGTTATTACAAAAAGTTTATCGTATGTTCAAGATATTCTCTAACAATTTACTGTGGCACGAACCACCATCTTATGAGAAACCAAATACATTAATGTTCTTGGAAGGGTAGTGTGTCCATAAAGTCAATGATACGATTTTGTAAAAAGTATACATAGTTATATAAATAAATATTGGTCACGAATCTTTATTGTAAAATGAGAATTTTCTTCAGATCACCAGCGATAATGTTGTGACAAGACAATTCAATTTCATCTGAAGTAAATTATTATATCTTTTGATAAAATAATTAGACAATTTTTATAATCATAATATGACATAACAATTATATGTCTTATAAAAACAGTGTTTTTCTAGTTCTCTTTGAATGAGGGAGCAACATTTAAATCGTCTATTATAATCCCTTCCTTTAAATGTATGAACTAATTATGGTTTAAATGGTATACATATGTTTTGCTTTAAAAAATTTTACATTAAAATTATTGTTAATAATTCCATTGGTCTTTAATTTATTTGGTGTTTTTGGTAAACATTTGTTGTTAAAAATACTTGCAGCTTCTCTATGCGTTCTTCTCTTCTTGTCAGTGTATTCTATTTCACAACTTCAATATTTTCAGTTAAATTTTATTATTATTATGCCCAAAGAGTTAGAGTTAAACAGTTAAACAATTAACAAAAATTGAATTGTGACACAATAAATAAATAAATAATGCTGTCCGAGAAAAAATATCCTATCCTATAAAAAAAATAAAGCGCTATCAAGTTTATTTTTAAAGATGTTAACACTAGCTGCCGATATGGTGTCTTGATCCAAATTGTTCCAGATATTAAAGATTCTGTTTGGCAAGAAGTTCACCCTGGACCTTGCAGTAGTTTGTTTCCTCCTTAATTTGTATCGATGGCCTCTTAATCTTTCGTCTTGATTCAAAGTGAATATGGTGTTTAGGTTCCCAAAATTATGTTTTAAAATACGGAAGGACATAATTAAGTCACCTCGAAGACGTCGCTGCTCGAATGTCGTAAGATGAGCCATGAATAGTCTATCTTCATAGTTAGGTCTTACAGGGCCGTATGCCAGTCTTGTGGCTTTACGCTGAACGTTTTCAAGTAGGATTTTATCGCGACTGAGATCTGGATTCCACACTGGTCCGGCAAACTCAAGAATAGGTCTAACGTATATTGAGTAAAGTTTACTAACAGAGGTTAGAGATATGCGTGCAAAACATTTACGGATCAAAAACAGTTTCGAGTTAGCACGTTTACACACCGACACTATGTGATCAGACCAATTTAAGTCACTATTAATTATCACTCCGAGATCGTTGTGTGAGGTTACAGAGTTTAAAGGATGTCCATTAATAAAGTACGGCAGTGATGGGTTATTTTTGCCGGTATGTAAAACAACGTATTTTTCAATGTTAAGCGGAAGTAACCATTCTGAGGACCATTTGAATATTGCGTCAAGATCTTGTTGAAGAATATGTTGGTTAATAGTTGGATTCACATATAACTTCGTGTTATCAGCGTAAATGGAAACCTTACTGGATACAATGAGCGGAAGATCACTAGTGTAGACACAAAAAAGTAGCGATCCAAGTACTGATCCTTGTGGAACTCCACTCTTGACTGGCTTATCTAGTGAGTGGTCCTCCCCAACACGAACCCTGAAGTATCTGTCGGATAGAAAATCTTGTATCCAAATGTTTAACTTTCCGCGGATACCATAGTGATCCAATTTAGCTAGTAATCGACGTTTTGGAACACGATCGAAAGCTTTGGAGAAGTCTAAGTAAACTACATCGACAGGATTCCGATTGTTTAAAGATAATGACCAATCATTTACACAATGAAGTAAGTTTGTGATCGTTGAACGACCTTTGATAAATCCATGCTGTTGGTGAGGGATGACATTTTCTTGAAGAAGGAACTCGAACATAGCTTCCGAAATAATCGATTCCATGACCTTGCCGACAATAGTAACCAGGCTGATTGGACGATAATTATTGCAATCAAGTTTATTACCTTTCTTGAATACAGGAGTAACTGAAGCCAATTTCCAGGACGAGGGGAGGAAACCTTGATTAAAAGAAGCAGTCATTATGAGAGATATAGGGATGGCTACAGAATCTGCACATTGTTTGAGGAAAAAAGAGGTGAGTCCGTCTAATAAGGTGATGAATTATTTTGCAGTTTCCTTAAATGATGTTTAATTTCATCCGGTGTGAAAGATATATTGTCAAGAGTTTTAGACAAACGAGGGCACATTATTTGAGGAATGGTATCGTTAGATTCATCTGTAAAAACTTGAGAAAAGAATAACTGATAAACATTCCGAAGATTCGTTGTTATTTTAGATGTGTTTCCATAAACAAAATAATATTATGCGACCTATATGGTCGCATTTTGGGTTTTAGTCCTTAAGTTTGGGAAGAATAACTTTTTTCTTAAAATTAATAAGAAAAAAATTTTTCCATATGGTTCCAACTTACATGTTGAGACACATCATATACGAGACGTGTTAAAACAATACCCGAAATTTTCGTTTTTTGAAAAAATATATTTATTTATTCGTCTACATTAATGTTGTCTCCTTCAAAGTAATCCCCATCAGATTTTATGCACTTATGCCAACGCTTCTGCCAATCCTTGAAACACTTCTCACGCTAGATCTTCGGGATAGCCTTTGGTTCTGTCAGCTATGTGCTTCTAATTTTATCTATGATTGTAAAAAAACGGCCCTTTAGTTTTCTTTATTTTTGGAAATAGGGAAAAGTCACACGGAACCATGTCTGGCTAATATGGCGACTGGGGGGCATCATATCAGTATTGTTTTTGGCCAAAAATTCATTTTTGAACAAGCAATGAAGTCTGGGCTGAGGCATTATCGTTGTGCAAAAGCCATGAGTTGTTTTTCCACAAATCCGTTTTTTTTTCTGATTGCTTTACGCAAGGTAGGTAGTACTCTTTATTGGCCGTTTGACCTCGTGGTAAAAATTCATGGTGCACTATGCCATTAAAATCAAAGAACACAGTGAACATAACATTCACATTCGACCGCACTTTTTTGGTCTTGGCGAGCCAGAATGCTTCCACTTTTATAACCATTTTGAGTAAATCTGGGTCGTCGTTTACGCCATTTAATGACTCCTGACCAATTTCTATTCGCCGCTGTTTTTGTTCAAAATTAAAAAATTTTGGAACAAATTTTGCTGACACGCGTTTCATACCCAAAACGTTTGAAAAGGTCAATTTATATACCAACTTCATCAGCAGTTTATCTGATTGTGATTCGCCGGTCGTTCATAACCATTTCTGTCACTTTTTTGCATTTTCATGGGTTCTTGATGTGCTGGGGCATCTTGGAATCCCTTATACCACTGATAAATACTGGTTTTTCTAATAGCATGTATATCATACGTCTTTGTTAATATTTCACACATGTTTTTACACTTTCGCCGAGCTCATAAAAACACTTGAACCTTAGCGGCTGCCACAGACAAGGTAAACAACGAATATAGCTTTAAATTTTTTATACTTTAGGAGCATGTATACCAACATAATAAAAAAAATTTTTGAGTATTGGACTCTCTAAATTCGCGAAATTTATAAATTCCGTGTATTTTTTAACACACCTCGTATAGACATTTTTAAAGTGTTATAATGAAAATTTTAATTACTTGGGAATATTTACTATAAACTTCTACAATTCGATTCATGTTCGCTAAAATAGAACAAGCAATAACCACTTATTAATATTTATACAATTGCTATTTTCTATAAATTTCCTATTTCTAATTGCGCAATTTTGAGATCATTAACATGAACTTAAAATAACTCGCCTAAACATTTTTAAACGCAATTAATTTCTCAAACA